TCCAATCTAATAAAATCACTTTGTTTCCCCTAACAATCCAACAAGTGGTATCAGAGCAACACACTTCGCCCACTACAAACTAACATGGGCGTCAGAGCTAGTTCGATTGCATTGGGCGTCAGAGCTGGTTCGATCGCTTTGGGCATAAGGGCCGACTCGAGAGCCGTGTTCGATCAACTATGGGAGCATGGACCAATTCTAAGGAAGCAAAGGAAGCAAGGTACGTGCTATCAATACTCAATTCAAGGTTTCAAAAAATCTAGAGAAGGGGAAGGAAATCTAGAGAAAGTTCTAGAGGAGGAGATAGTGAAAATAAAAGAGAGATGACATGAGAGGAAAAACTTTGGCGTTGTGAAGAATGAAGAATATTGTCGGCGAAAAACTACCAAGCTACCTACGAACGAGGAAAGTGCCACACAAGCACGGAGTTGCAGCATCAACAAGAGCTTCATCAATATCAGCTTCATGAGGAGCATGCGTGGAGAAACACAAATATGCATTAAGGAGGAGTGTTGAAAAAGTAATGCATATTTGTGTAGATGTAACTACACAATTCTAGAAAACTCAAGAACCTACAAACTAGATGATGGAATGTCGGCAACACAAAAATAAATATGCAAAGAATATTCTAGATGAAGCCACACTTGTGGCTGGATAAAAGAGAGCAAATCGGTGGGACTAAAGCATGGCCGCAACTTGCAAGACACATATGGCTAAGGATAAATATCTATGGAGGAATTCTCTAGAGCAAGACTACATTAACTAGATATTATACTAGAGTAATATAGTTAAGTCTAGAAAGTTGTATATGCTAGTGGCTGTAAATGAAGAAGCCAAGTCGGTGGAACTTGGGCCATGTCGGTTAGGAACAATTATAAATAGGCATCAAGCCATCCAATGTAATGAATCAAGTGAATAGGTAAGGAGTGAACCAATCAACTCCCAATTCATGTGGGAGTAAAGAAGCAAACTCCCAAACTATGTGGGAGCCAAGAGCTACCCAAATCAAGCCATGTTGAGGAGCCAATAAGCTCACCAATTAAAGTGTAAGGGCCAAATAGCCCAAACTATTCTAAGTTAAGTGTGATGGCCAATTAGCCAAAATACTAAGGAGGCCAATAAGCCAATAAGCTATGAAGAAGGCCAATTAGCCTATACCTCACCTATGTACTATTCTCCTCCAATCTAATAAAATCACTTTGTTTCCCCTAACAATCCAACAAGTGGTATCAGAGCAACACACTTCGCCCACTACAAACTAACATGGGCGTCAGAGCTAGTTCGATTGCATTGGGCGTCAGAGCTGGTTCGATCGCTTTGGGCATAAGGGCCGACTCGAGAGCCGTGTTCGATCAACTATGGGAGCATGGACCAATTCTAAGGAAGCAAAGGAAGCAAGGTACGTGCTATCAATACTCAATTCAAGGTTTCAAAAAATCTAGAGAAGGGGAAGGAAATCTAGAGAAAGTTCTAGAGGAGGAGATAGTGAAAATAAAAGAGAGATGACATGAGAGGAAAAACTTTGGCGTTGTGAAGAATGAAGAATATTGTCGGCGAAAAACTACCAAGCTACCTACGAACGAGGAAAGTGCCACACAAGCACGGAGTTGCAGCATCAACAAGAGCTTCATCAATATCAGCTTCATGAGGAGCATGCGTGGAGAAACACAAATATGCATTAAGGAGGAGTGTTGAAAAAGTAATGCATATTTGTGTAGATGTAACTACACAATTCTAGAAAACTCAAGAACCTACAAACTAGATGATGGAATGTCGGCAACACAAAAATAAATATGCAAAGAATATTCTAGATGAAGCCACACTTGTGGCTGGATAAAAGAGAGCAAATCGGTGGGACTAAAGCATGGCCGCAACTTGCAAGACACATATGGCTAAGGATAAATATCTATGGAGGAATTCTCTAGAGCAAGACTACATTAACTAGATATTATACTAGAGTAATATAGTTAAGTCTAGAAAGTTGTATATGCTAGTGGCTGTAAATGAAGAAGCCAAGTCGGTGGAACTTGGGCCATGTCGGTTAGGAACAATTATAAATAGGCATCAAGCCATCCAATGTAATGAATCAAGTGAATAGGTAAGGAGTGAACCAATCAACTCCCAATTCATGTGGGAGTAAAGAAGCAAACTCCCAAACTATGTGGGAGCCAAGAGCTACCCAAATCAAGCCATGTTGAGGAGCCAATAAGCTCACCAATTAAAGTGTAAGGGCCAAATAGCCCAAACTATTCTAAGTTAAGTGTGATGGCCAATTAGCCAAAATACTAAGGAGGCCAATAAGCCAATAAGCTATGAAGAAGGCCAATTAGCCTATACCTCACCTATGTACTATTCTCCTCCAATCTAATAAAATCACTTTGTTTCCCCTAACAATCCAACAAGTGGTATCAGAGCAACACACTTCGCCCACTACAAACTAACATGGGCGTCAGAGCTAGTTCGATTGCATTGGGCGTCAGAGCTGGTTCGATCGCTTTGGGCATAAGGGCCGACTCGAGAGCCGTGTTCGATCAACTATGGGAGCATGGACCAATTCTAAGGAAGCAAAGGAAGCAAGGTACGTGCTATCAATACTCAATTCAAGGTTTCAAAAAATCTAGAGAAGGGGAAGGAAATCTAGAGAAAGTTCTAGAGGAGGAGATAGTGAAAATAAAAGAGAGATGACATGAGAGGAAAAACTTTGGCGTTGTGAAGAATGAAGAATATTGTCGGCGAAAAACTACCAAGCTACCTACGAACGAGGAAAGTGCCACACAAGCACGGAGTTGCAGCATCAACAAGAGCTTCATCAATATCAGCTTCATGAGGAGCATGCGTGGAGAAACACAAATATGCATTAAGGAGGAGTGTTGAAAAAGTAATGCATATTTGTGTAGATGTAACTACACAATTCTAGAAAACTCAAGAACCTACAAACTAGATGATGGAATGTCGGCAACACAAAAATAAATATGCAAAGAATATTCTAGATGAAGCCACACTTGTGGCTGGATAAAAGAGAGCAAATCGGTGGGACTAAAGCATGGCCGCAACTTGCAAGACACATATGGCTAAGGATAAATATCTATGGAGGAATTCTCTAGAGCAAGACTACATTAACTAGATATTATACTAGAGTAATATAGTTAAGTCTAGAAAGTTGTATATGCTAGTGGCTGTAAATGAAGAAGCCAAGTCGGTGGAACTTGGGCCATGTCGGTTAGGAACAATTATAAATAGGCATCAAGCCATCCAATGTAATGAATCAAGTGAATAGGTAAGGAGTGAACCAATCAACTCCCAATTCATGTGGGAGTAAAGAAGCAAACTCCCAAACTATGTGGGAGCCAAGAGCTACCCAAATCAAGCCATGTTGAGGAGCCAATAAGCTCACCAATTAAAGTGTAAGGGCCAAATAGCCCAAACTATTCTAAGTTAAGTGTGATGGCCAATTAGCCAAAATACTAAGGAGGCCAATAAGCCAATAAGCTATGAAGAAGGCCAATTAGCCTATACCTCACCTATGTACTATTCTCCTCCAATCTAATAAAATCACTTTGTTTCCCCTAACAATCCAACAAGTGGTATCAGAGCAACACACTTCGCCCACTACAAACTAACATGGGCGTCAGAGCTAGTTCGATTGCATTGGGCGTCAGAGCTGGTTCGATCGCTTTGGGCATAAGGGCCGACTCGAGAGCCGTGTTCGATCAACTATGGGAGCATGGACCAATTCTAAGGAAGCAAAGGAAGCAAGGTACGTGCTATCAATACTCAATTCAAGGTTTCAAAAAATCTAGAGAAGGGGAAGGAAATCTAGAGAAAGTTCTAGAGGAGGAGATAGTGAAAATAAAAGAGAGATGACATGAGAGGAAAAACTTTGGCGTTGTGAAGAATGAAGAATATTGTCGGCGAAAAACTACCAAGCTACCTACGAACGAGGAAAGTGCCACACAAGCACGGAGTTGCAGCATCAACAAGAGCTTCATCAATATCAGCTTCATGAGGAGCATGCGTGGAGAAACACAAATATGCATTAAGGAGGAGTGTTGAAAAAGTAATGCATATTTGTGTAGATGTAACTACACAATTCTAGAAAACTCAAGAACCTACAAACTAGATGATGGAATGTCGGCAACACAAAAATAAATATGCAAAGAATATTCTAGATGAAGCCACACTTGTGGCTGGATAAAAGAGAGCAAATCGGTGGGACTAAAGCATGGCCGCAACTTGCAAGACACATATGGCTAAAGACAAATATCTATGGAGGAATTCTCTAGAGCAAGACTACATTAACTAGATATTATACTAGAGTAATATAGTTAAGTCTAGAAAGTTGTATATGCTAGTGGCTGTAAATGAAGAAGCCAAGTCGGTGGAACTTGGGCCATGTCGGTTAGGAACAATTATAAATAGGCATCAAGCCATCCAATGTAATGAATCAAGTGAATAGGTAAGGAGTGAACCAATCAACTCCCAATTCTTGTGGGAGTAAAGAAGCAAACTCCCAAACTATGTGGGAGCCAAGAGCTACCCAAACCAAGCCATAATGTTGAGGAGCCAATAAGCTCACCAATTAAAGTGTAAGGGCCAAATAGCCCAAACTATTCTAAGTCAAGTGTGATGGCCAATTAGCCAAAATACTAAGGAGGCCAATAAGCCAATAAGCTATGAAGAAGGCCAATTAGCCTATACCTCACCTATGTACTATTCTCCTCCAATCTAATAAAATCACTTTGTTTCCCCTAACAATCCAACAAGTGGTATCAGAGCAACACACATCACACCACCCCTTAAATTCCTACAATACTAGTTTCATTAAATTTCCCTTAAGATATTATGGCTTACTAGCTTTCATTACACATACTACAATGTCATCTGATCAAAGTCATTCATTTTTTAGATAATCATTGAGCACTATTTTATAGATATTAGGATTTTGGAACCTAAACTAATTTTCAACTATTATAAAAAAAATAATATAAATGTAAAAAAACCCTCAAGCCTATAATAAAAGCTGGTAAGCCGCTATAGTGGTTAGAAATATACCCTTCCCAAAAAGCCCAGCCTGACAAATTTGCTGCTTCTGTAAGAGCTATCCTCCACTTGGCCACGTTCTCTATGTTATTCTTGAACTGACCTTCATGGTTGGCAAGTGCTTCACCAAAATTACCTTTCTGATTTCGCACATCCGAAGGATCCACTTTGTAAAAAATTGGAAAAACCATTTGCCCTTTTGATTCTTTACATTGCAAGATCTTAACTAGCTCATCCAAGCACCACCTTGACCATGCATAGTTTTGGGAAAATATGATAGTACAAATCCTCGACTCTTCAATTGCTTTAAGAAGGGCTGGTGATATCTCTTCTCCTCGTCTAAGCTCCTCCTCATCTACGAACGTTTTAATTCCCTTCTGAACCAAATTGCTGTACAAATGGTCTGTAAAATTGTAGCGCGTATCGTCACCTCTAAAACTCAGAAAGACATGGTATGTCCAACAATGGTTGAAAGAAGAGGAGGAAGAGGCTCCTAATATCTGAGTGGTCATTGGATCCATGTCGTTTGATTATGTTGCATATATGCCTGAGAAGGAGAAGTAATAATAGGCTGAAAGAGTTGGGAATAATATATGTCGTTTGATCAAGGTGGATGTGAATTTGAAGTGAAGGCAATAATAAGATCAAGCAAAAGGAAAAAGAGAAAAGAAATGCCAGTGCGTTGCCTGTCTGTGCAACTTTCAGAGTTCAAAGGTGTTTATCAATGACCTTTTCCTTTCATCCATGTGTTGTGTTTTTTTATTCTCTTGATTTTGATGATAGAGATGGGACCAGATTTTCTATAGAGTTTTGTCGATCTCCAACTCAAAACCAGTTGGCATCTATTAAATTGTAGGAACATGAGTTTTGGCATCTAATCACAGGGTGACACGTGGATAGGGGAAGATTCCTTAGGTCAAATAATTGTGTTAATTAAACTCGATTTATGATAAGAATATCTCCCTAAATCAAGGATCAGATTCCTAGTAAATCTCCTCGATTTCATCTCATTTACCCTCCGTTTGGATGAGGAAAAAAAATTCTGACATTGGTTTTTCAAAGTTTTGATTGTGATTGCTCTGTAACTAAGATTTTTCATTTGTATGTTTGATGGATGGCTAAAGTGGAATTTTTTTTGTCAGTTATTTCTTTTACAGATTTGTGATGCAAACTTTTTGAGTGGTTTTAATGGTGTTAGTAATATCATTGCGAATATATAGACTTCTGAGTGAGTGCACAGTCATTGACAGTGGCACAGATTGTCAATTTATCACCTTTTTTCTGATGTAAAGTGATTTGATTTGAGAAAATATGCACGACCTTACCTATTTCTATCTGTGCTTACTGCAGCTATCTGTTGGTCTTGGATCGAACAAACTGGAAATCAAACATCCTTACAGGGCTCTTAATCCCCTACATTTTCTTTACCCTTCCTTCAATATTGTTCAACTTCTTCAGGTTATTTTCTATACTGTCACTGTGTATATTATCAGTTGCGTATTTCCTATTATCTGTTCATTCTTTTCTCTCCCTCTAAACTCTTCTAAATGGTTAATTTCACAGGGGACAGATTGGAAGATGGATTGCTTTAGTTGCTGTCATCTTACGGATTTTCTTTCCTAAACATTTCCCAGGTAAAATGCAAATTTGATTCCCAGTGCTGAGTTATAATGTTTATGTTAGCTTGGGAAGTTGATTCATATTATGTTACCTAGAAATTGATCCTTTGTTTTCTGTTTGTGCTTACTGGTTATGATGGTAACCTCCAGAGTGGCTTGAATTGCCGGCTGCATTGATTCTTCTTATAGTCGTTGCTCCTAGTTTAATTGCAAACACCGCGAGGGGCGACTGGATTGGCGTTGTAATATGTCTCGTCATCGCTGGTTATTTGCTGCAAGAACACATCCGGGCAGCCGGTGGGTTCAGAAATGCTTTCACAAAAGCCAATGGCGTATCGAATACCGTTGGCATAGTTATTCTGTTCGTCTACCCTGTTTGGGCATTGGTGCTTGACATCCTATAGACTTTACAACCATTCTTGCCATCATGTGGAGTCTTCTGTGGTTTGGACATTGTGTTAAATTCCTTTTTTGTATTTAATTCATGTTGACACCAACAAAATTCATATTTTCGTTGTGTTTGCATATGAGTCTTGTAGTGTATTTATGAAAATGTGAGCAGAAACCTTGTGCAAGAGACTTATTTCTCTTTGATGTAGTGAGAGCTCAGTATTTGTTCAATGAAAAATGTGAGCAGAAACCTTGTGCAAGAGACTTATTTCTCATTGATGTAGAGAGAGCTCAGTATTTGTTCAATGATTCTTGAAGGACCTTTCTTATTATCTTATGTAATAAACATCAACTCATTTCTTCAACAACAAAAGAAAGAAATACAACTTAATTAGAAGGAAGACAAAAAACAAGGAGAGAGAATCAAATGCGACTTTACCCAGCATTACATTTGAAGGCAATGATTAGGGAAAAACTTTGTTTTGGGCACTGGCAAATCATCCTTGATCACTAGGTGGACTCCGCAGCTTTCGAAAAAGACTGAACCTTTGTTGGTAAGGTCACAACTAACTTTGCGCTTGTAAGGTGGTAAGCCACTTCTTGTCTTGGCTATCATTGTATGGAATGGGATATAATACAGCCACAGGTGAGCTGACTCTTCTCTTTCGAATCGAAATAAACCGCATGTTCATGGGAACATTCTTCATCCATGTAAACTCTGGCTATCAAGCAACAATTGCCAGAACTGTTTTGCTTAATTTCAACAGCAGCACAGAGAGCCAACCCTGTTTTTGACCATTTGAAATTGGGCGGGATTTCAACAGAAACTTCACATTCACTACTCTCCTTCAAATCCCTACAACAGCTGAACCACTTTGGAACCTCATTTACTGGAAACACAACCTCAAATACAGATTGTTGGGAGAGAAACAGAGAGGACAGAACAACCAGACACAGTACCATCTTTTTCATCTTTGCCACACCGGCCAGATTGTCACAGAGTCTCCGGCAATTAGACAAGTTCATCCAACCAATCATATGCGAGTCACAAAGTTGCAACACCCCAGCTGGGAGCACTATCAAGGATGATGACATGGCTATGGATGTGTTTTGAAATTTAACGTCTCAAAGGGATTTGGACCGTTTGGTTCCAAATGAAGACCCTTTACATCTAGAAAATTCGAAGATCAGCCATGGTGTTTCTGAATTCTGAGGAGTAAACATCAGCCATCAACAAGCATGCAATTAGCAAAAGGGCATTGAGTATGGTGTTTCTGACCATTACTTTTGTGCTCATCAAAAATGTTTTTTTTTCTTGCCTTTAGGTTTAGACATAATAACAGGTCGAAGCATGCTCCCAAGTCCCCCAATGCCTTTCTGTCAAGCACCACCGCAGCAATAAGAAAAGACTCAAAGTTGTTCCCAAAATACCAAACCTTTGAACCAATTGGGAAATCAACATATTCAAAACTTCAGAAGATTCGAATAAAGAAAGTGGAAATTAGTGCTAAGACCCCAAC